AGTTTTGAGTTTAAAATTTTGTACGTAAAAATAAGTAACGCTTTATGGGATAAAACCGGAGGGAATGAGTCATCTGTATCATAAGAGCATTTTGAAAGACAACTTTTAGCATTATTTGCATAACTTTTCTGGAGCATTATACAAGATTACGACTTGAAATTTACACGATGTTTTATTCATATAGTTTTACAATGGCAACTCAAAGGGAAGTACAAACCAAACTCCTTAGCTAGGATATTCAGCCATGTGCTCCTGATAAGACAGGCGTGAATGAATTTTCGCATAAGATCAACACCAAACTCTTAAGTGTGTGTACGGTTGAAAACAATAAATCAGGTGAATGGGTCTATAGTATCAAATGGTTAATAAATTGGTGGTTCATGGTAAATGAATTAAAGTATCTACTTATAGGTTTGTTGTAGTTTTCCAAGTTAACTTATGACTCCCGTTACTAAACATCTACAGATGGTGAAAAAGCAAGATTTTCTATCAAACAAATGTGGGTTAGGGGCATCTGACGATCATCAGTCATAATCAACGGTGCATCTAGCAGAAATCGGCATCGACCGAAGGCGGCACACCACAATGACACAAGATGAATGACAAGGAAATAATAATGGTGGAAAGACTAGACGGCAGTGAAAATGTAAATAAATAATATACTTGTAATATCCCAATGAGTAGAAAATTGGGATATTACAAATATATTATTTATTTATAACAATCTACCCAATGCTCAATTTATTTGAGATTATCAAATCAAACCTTAGGCAGGGAAAATGGTTGTAAATAAAGGTATGACTCGAATCAACAACGAAGCCACAGATGAATACAACTATATATATAGTGAATAGTCGGTGCACACTCGTAGTTATAACCAGGACCTATATTTTGATCATCTTCAGGAAAAAAGAACAAATCTCAGGTGCAGATTTGGAGGAACATTCAGCTGACAAGATCTAGTTCCTTTAGAAATTGCTAAATGTGTTAATATCAACAAATAATCTTCAAAGATATGCTACTGGGTACGTAGATTAGCTTAGTGATTAAACGCGCTAGACGACTAACAACTTAGGAGAGAAAAAGATGACAAACCTCCTTGGGATACTGGCCTATTTTGTTCCTCTCTCATTCGTTGTTCCTCTTCTCTTCGTGCTAGTTCCGCAGCCTTTGCATCCAGCTCCTTCTGACGACGTTCAAGCTCCGCGGTTGTAATTTTCTGAGCTTGAGTAGCAGAATATTGAGGTGGTGGTACAGAATTAATGGTATGATTACCATGTTTATTATCCCCAGTAGCCTCGAAAGGATTGTACTTATCTAGTGCACCCGTATCAACACGAGAAATCTGAGGGTTATCATGAGACTGTGTCTAAAGAGAAAATATGAGGATTGACAGCACGACGAACCGGTGTCAACTTCGTCACTGGATCTGCAAAAGGATTCTCCATTTACAGTTACCAACAGTGTCAGACAGAGCGCAAATTGACACCTGGTTGAATAGTTCAATTGACTATCTCAAATTCAGATTTGTGTAGTAAGGACAGGCTTATTGCCTATGTTATTCTTTTTCTAGTATGCTTCTGTAAGTGTCTCGTCTTCTCTTGAAAGAGTCAACTGAAGGTGCAGACACCACTGTTTTGAGGAACAGGTTTCAAGAATTGATAACTCGGTGCGAAAACCTGTATTTTATTCGTTCTCGGCTTTTCGACTCGCCCGCTTTGTCGTTTGAGATGTCCCGATCTAGTGGGAAGAAAAAGAGAGGATGTGTTAGATCAAAAACAATTTACTAGTATTCTGTGCATCAGAATCAGATCACATATTAATCTGCGGTAGAACAGAGTAAAGAAGTCTAGTTTTTCAAGACTCTCTTGGTACGATAAACTCCGGAGTTCTAAAATCTCACGTGTAGTTTCCCTATGTACTTTTTCCAGGATATCCGAGTCACCTTTTAAACAGAGGCTTTGGGCCTGAACGCAGTTCTCAAACCTAGTTCTCACTTAAGTTGTGGGTACTGTAGTGAATATGATAGTATTTAACTTGGTGAATGTCTATCTTATAGCCCATAGGGCTCTAAACCCCTTAGCTGCGACCTACTGGCAATGGGCCGTGGGCTTATGATCATGACTCACTGTCACCCCAAAATTCTTGTGGTCCAGACCACGAGTACAGGTACTTCCCCTATGCTGTACCTATCTACCTTTACATCCCCAAAGTGCATGTAGATATACTTTGACGCGTTAATAGGCACTACCTACTCCTTAGACCAGTTAGTCCCAATATTTAAGTCTGCCTTAAGTGTGCATTCATCTGCATCTCCCATTATTTCTCGCCTGAGCTTTACATCGTCAGCATATAACAACATTGGAGACTCTACTATACTTGGGAAATAATTCCCATACAACATAAAAAGTAAAGGACCAAGGACAACTTTACTACTTTTCCTACACTGAAGCACCGAGCAAGTGATCATTTATGTCACAGATTTAATACTAATAAAATAAGGATCATACTGAAATCAGAACCCATGAAGGATAAACAGACATGAAAGGATGTCATTACTGAGTTAAGAACGCGAAAGCGAAATGGTGTGTAGCGGTAAATAAACCCCCAAAATCAATATCTCCGTAAGTCTTCGACATTTGATGCTGACGGCATTAGTTGTAATGGACTCACCTAGCTGAAGTCGCTTGGTCAGGCATCCACACCAGAACACGAGTGGGCACACCGTTCTTCATATCTCCTATAACCGCTAGCCAGCCTAGATTGGTCACTTCGCGATATATTGATATTCTTTCGAATATATCTTTGAACCTCTTTGTTCCCGGCTTCTTATTTGACTGGGTCGGCACAATTCGATTATAAATGTTGTTACTGGTTAAATTGAAACAAACCCTAAGACTCAGGGTTTTAGAGTGTTAAAGCATTGGAAGCCAATGCTTTTGAAATCTGTATAGATAGAACGAGTGATTCTCAAAACACCCTAAATGTGTACTACACAAACACGCGTAGTCTTAGGAATTGAGCGCATCGGAGGCGCATTACACAAACGAAGAATTATTCGTAATGATGAGATTCCTACATTATTGTCGCGCGAACATTCGGACTAAAGCGATAATTAAACATCTGAAATAAATAGTTCTGTAAGTCTTTGACATTTAATGATGACCTTGTTATTTTTACTGGACGCATGTAGCTGAAGTCACCCGGTCACGCAAACACACCAGAACACGAGTGAGTACGCCGTACTTCGCATCTCTTACAGCGGTTAACAAGCCTAGATTAAACGCTTCAGGGAGATTTAGGGAGAGGAACATGTGCCACTGAGATACCAAAGCGAGAAGGTTAGAGCAAATAAGAGAACTAAAGAGGCATCACACTACTGTCAGTACCAGGGAAAGTTTTCAACAGTGTCGCTGAGCCACATGAAAAATTCATCAGACGACAGGCTGGATTCCTTAAGGATCAGACATTTACAGACAAAATCACGAAACTACAGATCATTAATAAGTAACCAAGCGGATGGAACTTATTATTATACATCACCCTCCTTTATTATGAGAAAAAATTTGACAGTGTGAATAGGTGAATTTATGGGACCACCCTTGACATTATGGTGTACCTGAGAAAACTGCCAACATTATTCAGAATTCATGCGACGGACGGTGCATGGAGGACAGCTGACAGATGCATTCCAAGTGAGGACCAGCTTTCCTACAGTCGAACAACACATGCAACTCAAAACAACTGTCAAACAGTATCAAAGTCAGAATCTTCAATACGCACGTCAAAACAGTTCCACTGTACAGAGCTGAAACGCGAGGAACCACTACAACCAACATCAAACGCGTTCAGGTATTTATAAACAGCCGTATATGCAAGGTGATACAATTCTGTTGACTAGACATCATCGACAACAACAAAATGTAACAAAGAACTGACCGTATTCCAGCTGATAGTAAAATTAGGAAAGGACGTTGAAGATGGATAGGACATATATTGCAGGAATCATGAAAAGGAAAGTGCTAACTTTAAATCCTAAAGAAAATGTGAGGAAAGGAAGAACCAAGAACACAACGAGTTGGGACTTGGAAGCAGATATGAAAAGGATGGATAACAACAGGAAAGGAATGCTCTGGAAGGAGTTTGATGGAGCATGCCTGTGAGCGACCTGTGCTACTCTACGAGAAGTAAGAGATGTAGGCAAATGTTATTCATTTTATTTATGCTTTTGTTTATTTTTCCATGCTGTATTTTTTGACCTGCCCATAATCTTGCTGCTTTTAGGATTTCAAGCCATGGATTTTCTTGTAATGTGTGAAGTGAAGTGTATCTTATCCACCTTGAGTGTTTTTTCTTAACTTCCTCATCTGTAGCCAGAAGCTTTCCTCTATCCTACCAGGATATGTTGTTTTGATGTTAAATGGTCAGCCGGTGCGGACTTCTTGCGTCAAAATATGAGAATGAATACCTGTATTTTCTGGTGAAGTTTGAGGTAGATCAATTTTCAGTTCCATGTGATAGAACCAATTTAAGGTTGTAGATCACCAACGTAGGTAATTTTGGTCGATGATCGGGAACTAACTCGAGTCAGACAGTGCTAACATAATCTCCCAGATAACGTTGAAGTCACATCTCTTAGTGAATATTCTGCGTTGGTTATGTGTGGATTTCAAATAAAGTCAACATGACAAAATAAAATGGATCATAGTAGAAGTACTTAAAATTTTCAAGTACTTATCGACCGCTTAGTATTCATTCAGTTTAGTGAAAAATAATCTTGTTTGAGTTCACAGTTTTTATGAGCCAACCTTGAGTTATACAATCATATCAATTTGTCATGTGGACATATCTCTTTATATTTTCAAGTTATTCATGAATCGTAAGTGTTAAAACGGAGCAATGACGACGAAGATTCTCGAATACTCAATTTATAAGGGATATGAGATTTGAAGAAATGAGCTGTTTGGCAATGTAACATTGGACATTTAAGGATACAAGGTGGCATTTCACTGAGCGCGCTTTGTGAATTGCCGTTAATATATCGTGGTCAGTTTCATAAAATTTATAATAGAATTATTTTTGACACTTTACAACAGATCACAATATGTCCTCACCTTCTAGTGGCATCATATTCAAGTTTTTCACTTAGATCTAGTTTTCATTATTTGTTTAGTCAGTCCGATATTATACAAACTGTTCTCTATTTGTTTACTTGTATATATTACTAATGAAAGCATTGTTTTTTTGTACATGTTGGGATGTTTATCCATGAAAGAGGGTGAGCAGCGTTAATGCTTGTGCGTACTGATGAAGAGGGCCTCGTCTTTATTTTGAACATTTTTTATCAGTCATATGACTACTATATAGTATGACTGATTGTTATGAAAGTGCGTTAGTGTTGCGTGAGAGTCAAGAGCAAAGGGCTTAAGTTTTCCGAAGCAGTTCCAGCTTTGTACAACTACCCCATGATTTTATAATTTTTGTATTGTTTATCAAAGTTATAGATGGCATTAAGTTGGTGAAAGCAAAACTGTCACACATTTTAGCAACGTTTTCAGTGAAGGAAGATATTCGATTTAGTGGTTCATAGTCCTATCTGTGTATATATGTATATTTATAACTGAAGGTGGTTGTTTAAGCATCATAGCCACTAGTCAAACACTAACAGCGTAGAACATGTAATAAATATGCTTGCCCGAAGCTTCTTTAATACAGTGGAACGACAAGATAAAATTGGCAAGATCGGTAGCGAAGAAAGTCCAAATAATTTGATGGAAGTGAAAAAGAAGTATCCGGAGTTTCTTTGCATGCTCATTGCTCAAGGTAACTAAAGGCCTGAATTTTATCAGCGAGTTCACTGACCAGGAATATTTCAGTTGTGTATCCCAAGTTGATCAGTAGGTGTTCCGGTTGAAAATCAACCGTCGAAAGTTCGATGAAGAAAGTGGTTTTGCAAGGGAACATCTAAGACTTAGTCGAATTAAAAGGGGAATAGTAGACTACTGTGAAGAACAATTTTTCCAATAGACATCTCTGATGATAACTCATCATACGCTCTGACTTGACTAATAGTGTCTGAGTAGGGAGCGTTCATACGGTCAAGTACGTTTTTATTAAACCTTTAAACGAAGAGCATTGCCAGTAAATCTCTCAGTCAACGGAGTTGAATGCTGCCTTAAAATCAACAAATGGGACAGCAGTAGGGGATTGGAAATTATACTTCTATTCTTACTCCTGGCGCAGTGTAAATGCTTGATCAATATACCTACATCTGGGTCTAAAACTAGCCCTGTTTTCCAGTGTAGCGGTAAATAAATCCCCAAAATAAGTAGCTCTGTAAGTTTTCGACATTGGATGCCGACCACATGTTTTAATGGATTAACCTAGCTGAAGGCGCTCGGTCATGCATCCACACCAGATCACGTGTGGGAACGCTGTGCTCAACATTTACTGCAATCGCTAGCCAGACTAGATCAGACAATTCCAATATATTGGCGATCGTCAAATACAACTTCCGATCTCCTCGATTCTATCTTTTGATTTCTCTTGGTGGGTACAAGTTTTAATAGGTGTTACTGGTAAAAGCGTTGTCAAACACTGAATACCTGTGCCATCTTCACCAGAATTTGCCCTTCATGTGCTTTAATTGAGCGTCAAATGGCTAGAAATATTAGTATACCAGGCATCAGATTAGCCAAACTGACTCTGCAGTTATCACTATAAGATTTCTGACGTTATATTTAAACTAGAGTGATCATCTGCTGGGATCAGTCAGCTATGGTTACACCCAACCCTTAAAATCTAGTGACCATCTCAGCTTAGGCGCTAACAGTTGAACTGCCGTCTTTAAAGATCTTCGAAGTTAATCCATCCGAGCCCACTACACTCTCGGTTTGTAGTGGCTATGGCCTTTTCTGCCCCATTGAGATTAAGGAGACTTGTACAAATAATCTATTCAGGTTGTTTGGATACGGGGTAGTTGATGGGTAGCTGAAGTTCAGTCGGGTTCTTACTCAAAATATTCTACCCATTGGCCTAATTTCCTAGATTCGAAGTGAACAGTGGTTTTGTGGCCATATCGCAACACATCTTGTATTAAGAATTCTCTCCTCTGAGGTGCTAGCCGAAGAGTTGCAAGCTCCTGTAATTCTGCATAAGTATAAATATACTCTCCAAATCCTTATTTAATTTACCACTTGTCTTTAAAGTTAAGCGCAAAAGACATTTGAAAAGTAGTGTTGTCCTGTTTTGTCGTATCTAGTAGGGTTTAATACGCAGTTAGGCAGTATGGGCTGTAAAATTAGAGGCCCCTAACAACCCAAAAGGTATTAAAAGATCTTCATATATTTACATGTCATGAATCCTATTGCATTACAAACTTCAGAGTATCATGTGATTTGACTGATAGTATAAACTAAAGGTTGATTTTCGTGTCTTGTAAAAAAATGTCAAGTCTTTCAACAATACTTCACTCATCTGTTTATATCAGACCTTAACAATTTATGGCTAAGATAATGAGTGTATGTAGAAGATCAGGTTCTTATGGTATCCAGCTAATGAACACGACGGAATACAGTCATCATTTACTTACTTTTAGGGTTTAAGAAGAAATTTTTATGAGGTATCGTTTGACTATCTTTGATTACTGTCTATAATACTATGTTGTTTAACATGTGCTGTAGTATACGAAGTGAGTTAACTTTATATAATGTACTCATGTTTCATTTACCTTTTACTTTTCGCTTATCTTTACTAGGGCTGTTGTTCAAGGCCCTTTACATTTTGCTTGTCTCTAATCCTGAAAGAACATTATTCGAAAGTCTGTTGCACTAAAAATGAATAGGATACATAGTAATGGCATCCAGTTTATACACTGGATTCAAAACTATGAAGTGAGTAATTTAAACTTTCGTTACTGTGATGAATTACACTTCATAATGCATTTTGATGGACTAATATATGTTTATGTGGTTCTCAGATAATTCTATGTCTCTTTAATCTAAATAGGGCATAATTTAGGGGTTATTTTGCACCGCTTCTAAGCTATTAAATATTTATTTCGATACAAAAATAAATGAGAGGTGACAAAGAGATAGTTTGTAAGGTGTACATTTTCAACCTTAATAGTGGACATGCTTTTTAAAAAGGTTTCTAAACGATGGCTGGATATCTTTGTTTTGGATTGCACAGGAGTAAACTTATGAGTGCTTTAACAACCTTAGTACATGAACTTTGATAAAAATGTATTGTTTCCATCCAAAACTACTGTTAACCTAAAAGTAACGACGATTTTCAAACAGGAATAACAGATGCTAGTCAGCAAACCACTAGAACATGCATTTTTAAGTATAAATTAATTACCATTCATTAATCATCGAATGGTTAATTGACCAATCAAGGTAACTTTATTAAGATTGCTCATGTTGAAAGTAAGGGAGTATCGCTATGTTATATTAAAATCTGATCATTCCTAAATCAGTTTGTAATTTATTAACTTGGTCATAAGTAGTAATTTATCTCATATATTTATTTAGAAAACACGCTTTTGTATGAAAAAGTCTTGAATTGTTTGCTTCAACACAAGCTAGCTTGTAACAGTCACAAATCGTACGTTTTAAAACAAAACTATTCCAAACCATAATTCCTGTACTAGTGATCAGAACTAACAGTTGCTTATTCGACTACCATGACTTGTAATTAGATGAAAGTAGCACAGTTTGTGAAATTAGATAACTTATAGAACTGTAAAACGACTTGTCGCCCACATTTAATAATGTGGAATAGTGATTCAGTCACAAATAAGAAGCTATGCACACATGAGTTGACAAAGATGGGATTGTGTATAAGTTTGCAACTTTGTAATCGTTACCAAACAGTATATTTTTATGAGGGACTTTATATAAGCGCTACCTATTTAGTAATAGGGAGGTTAGACGCAGGGTATTAGGGAATGATGGTAAATCAGTTGATGAGGTTATGAATCTTCATCGACTGAGATGGTTGGGCCACTTGTTACGTATGCCTGAGCACCGATTACCACGACGCGCAATGCTGACTAGTGTTGGGGATGATTGGAAGGAAGTGGCCAAACCTGAGTGTGGCATCAGTCCTTAAAGTCACTAACTTCTGGCCTTTGCCATGTTGGTAGATGTAAACTACTTGATTGGGGTCCACGTGACTATCGTAACCAATGGTTTGAGACTCGGGGTGACATGGCTCAGAATCGGTCACAATGGCGTAGGTGTATGCACTTCCTGTCTTCTCTTAAACTATGAGATTAAAATCGCTTCATACATTCCTTTCTACGAACTAATTTTTTCTTTCTGTACTATATCCTTATATGCAATCTTCCTTTCATATATTACTACCATTGGATTAATTACTTCTATGAATTTAGTGTTCATCTTGTTGTGCTAATGAGATATGGCAACTTGGACCTATGTATATATGTGCCTGGTTCTACGTTGTATTTGACTGACTGACTACCTATTTAGTGCCCACTTGTTTATGTGATGTAATTTGTTAGGTAAACTAGATATCCTAAATTCTGGAATTTTGCAGGTTATCATTGATACGCTGAGCAATCTGGGTCTGAAGTTAATCGATTTTGTAACTTTAAGAAAAATTAGTTGACTTTGAATTTACTCAGTCAGGGGATCTACTTTATCTTTGAGGAAGAAACTTTGGTTTGGACTTTATCTTAATCATTATGATTATTGTATTTGAAACTGATATCGTTTGACCATGTAGTTACTTTTTATATCTGATTCTTTACAAAAGCGTTCGCTTCAATACATGTAAAGTTTTTTCGTATTTGCTGATAGCATGAATCACATAAATATTGCTGGTAAGTTTATGGTTACTTTTGATGTGACATTATTGTTTACAAAAATACCACTTCTTGAAACCATAGACATAATTTGTCAACATCCTGATATCCTACCTCTACCAGCAATAGAATTCAAACGACTATTACTCTTGTGTACAAAGATGTTCAGTTCCAATTCAACAATACTATATACCGACAAACCGATGGTGTAGCAATGGGAAGTCCGTTAGGCCCCGTCCTAGCAGACATTTCCATAGCTAACCTCGAAAGAACCAAGCTCAAAGGAGCGATTGATGAGATGATGTATTATTCGAGGTATGTTGATGATACATTCATCTTATGTAATAATCAACAACATGCGACAAATCTGTTAAGGTTTTTCGATGAAGCTCATCCAAATATTCATTTCACTATGGAACATGAAAAAGAAAACATTTTCCATTTTCTCGATATAGCGATCAAACGAAGAAAGGATGGCACAGTTCAACGCTCAGTTTATAAGAAAGACACATGGGATGGTATTTATCTCAATCTCAACAGTTTTTGTCCAATCAATTATAAAAAGACACTTGTCAAAACACTGTTTCACAGAACAGAAAGATTATGTACTGCCGATACAATAGAAGAGGAAATTATGAATGTTAAAGAGTATTTAAGAAATAACGGATACCTATTGAGATTTATTGAGAAATATGGAAAACGTGAAGATAAAATACCCAAAGAAACTACAGTAAATAAAAAACCTGTTTTTATTCAACTCAAATTCAAAGGCGATAATGTCACGGGGTCAATCAATATGAGACTAAAAACTGCATTGACAAAAACATATTCTGCAACTAAATTGATTGTCCTGTCCAAAACGACATGTTCTTTGACACAATCAAAGGTCGACAGGTATCCCTTTCATGTTACCACCAACTGTGTATACAAATTTACATGTATCTGCCAAAGCAGTTACATTGGTAGAACATAAAGGAGAGCCTACGTCCGATTCAAAGAACATATTCCGAAGAGTTTGAGGCCAAACGGACTAAAAGCATTTAGCAGCGCTGTTCCAAGACATCTCCTTGACACAGGACACGAAGTCGACATACTGAAGTCCTTCAAGGTGATTAACAAACAATCAAATTCAAACCTTTTGATATTCACCGAAGCAATAGCAATCAAACGTTTAAAATCAGATCTTTGTATACAAAAAGAAACAGTAATAAATCTTTCTTTGCCCTGGTAACATTCACTTCACCCCCTTTTATTTTTATTTATTTTTATTACGTCATTCCAACTCTTTCTGAATTTTATAATTACATCATTCATAACTGACCAATTTCAATTCATATCTCTCTTTATTAACATTAATCTATTTTCAGTTACTTCATTACATAATCATCTAATATGTTTTAATTCCATGATTTCTAATCACTATCTCAATTTTCTGGAACTTTCCCTCCCAAACTCTATATATTCGAAACGAAATTTTATGACCTCACTAACTCTAACGAAATCTTTGCTACATTATGTTACATATATTCATCCTTCATCGCCCTCTGTTGTATAAGTATGTCAATATCTATAATAACTTTGAATTGCAAATATTTTAGGTTGTAAGCAGTTGATGAGAACCTAACGAAATAAAATGAATTCATATTATTCTTCACTAAACTTTGTTCTTGCTCTCTTTAAAGTTTTTTTATTTACATTGTAATTTTGGCTAGTGGATAGTTACTGTATAGCCCATAAAGTCAAATGAATATTTTAAAAATCCCCATATTGTGAATAATAACAACATATATTAGCGAACAACATTGTTTGCAATTAGATCCTCATCGGGCTTTACTCTAGTATACAATAATGTTTATATACATATATAAAATTACTAAGTCAATCAACGGAGTTTATGAGTCAGTGATAACAATATAATAAATTGAATAAATAAACATAGTAAGCAGAAGGTGCAAATTGATAGTGTGATTACAGGTGTACTAGTTATGATATGAATAATAAAGGCTTTAATCAGTGTTTCATGGTAGGATGTAGACTGAAGCCTTGAGAAAACAGACATTCAATTAACATTTATCCAAAATTATTGAAATCATGTAATAAAAAGTGTTCAGATAAATGGAAAGTAAAACATATATCTGAAAAAGCGGTGAAGAAAAATAAATGAACAAAGCGTATGAAAAGTAATGATAAGTATGAACGTTCGCTAAGCCTAGTTTTACCACAGTAAAGATAAATGCTACAGATTACTTATGAATACAAAGACTTAGATTATTTTCTCGGATCCCCATACCTTCTGCTACGTGTAAGTGACGAGACTAAATTCAACAAGGAAAATTAATAGGAGTACAATAAATTACTTTAAGTGGCCTGTTTTATCTACTACATGATTGATATTGGTCAAGTGTGATAGAACAGAGCTGCATGTTGTTTTGATGACACACTTTTTTAATTACGAAGTAAAGCGTTAACTGATTCGATGGCTCAGTTGTCCGGTTGTGCTCCCAATATTAGCTTTCTCCACAGGAGCAGCTGAATTATTTGAAACACATAGATGTGCCGAAACCAAGTAACTTATCCTTTGGTTGAGCAATCACCACAGGTTGGCTGAAAAACGAAAGACAAGTTAACTGTGTTAAACGTTCTATTTATTGCTTTGGTCAATCAATATCATAGTGCATCACTGGCTACATCTATGTGCTTTAATAAAAACATTTTATTCGTCTGAGGAAAGATAGTGGTATATGATGGCCACTTGGGAGTGAAGACATAATTCATTTTGTTGTAGAGCAATTTCACTGTTCTGATCTGGTCACCTCTACTTTGTCTCAAATCCTAGTCTTGAGTTAGGTAGAATCCCGTGTTGAAGCAAATTACAACTAATTATGTTTAATAGTTTCAGTTTGGGCCGATTCTCAAGATCATCGAGTGGTGTAACCTCTCTTCCTCCAACTTTTCACTTAGAGAGAAAGTATGGTATAAGTAGCCGGTTTGTTATTACCTACCTTCTGATCAGCTTATGAAGAGAAATCAGGTCAAAAACGGATTTGAACGCATACGAATCAATTGTTTTTTTCTGTTTGTATGTTTTCATAGTCAAGGCAAAGTTTTAGTGCAAATTAACTCCGAAGTAATGCTACGGAACTTTAGAGTCCAAGATTACATTGCTTACATATCCCAGGCTATAGGTAGCTACAACATATCTGAATAGATTGAATCCATCTGTAAGATAATGAAACAATTTTAATAGAGATTTTCTTTAATCCGTTAACTAGTAAAAAATGAGATGAAATGTACTGATATCTAATTATTATTCTATTTGTCCTGATAATATGGTTGATTGTTTTCGTTCAGTAAAACAATCTCTTTTTATTAGATTTGGGTCTCAACAACTGAATTTTGTTTATGATTTTAGCGTCTGGAGCCTTTGTTTACAGTCGTTAGTCATATCGGTAGTCCTAATACTGCCTACTCACTGACGTTTCCAACTGCTTATTATACTGATCCAACATTGGGGATCACGACAATCTTATGTACGGCTTTAGCAGACTGGTTAAACGGAATACTTAAGTGGTCAGTATTTTTCTAATTTGTGCTGAGGCTTTTAATTTGTATTGGATCCAAAAGTTTAACTCATTTTTGTATCGACAGTTAATGTTTCACACCCTACCTTTTAATGCCATTATTTGTTTGTATGCAGTATTCCTAAAACTTTCAGCTATTTTCAAAATGGAAATATTGTTCTACACTAATCTCCATTTTAAATTACTTGGATAATATCAGATATGTGTTATACCATGTATGGATTAATATCGCTTGTTTATATAACTGGAAATACCAGTGTATCAAATGACCTAAATTCATTAGTCAATAAGCGATATTCTTTAAAATCGAATAATAAGGATAAGTTGTAATGGATTGGTTTCAGTATGTTTGAGAAAGGATTGTAACTATATTGTGTCATCTCAGGTTGTCAGTGCATCAAAATAGGATAAACGAGAAACATGAGCCTAATCCATTGTAACAGGACATTAGAGATTTAGGTGGATTTATTCTGCTATAACCAGTTTAGGGCTGTTCTTTGAGTATTCCACAGTCACTGCTTCTCTTTGCTGGACATATCGTCTACAAAACCCACGATTTCTTTTTGTTGAAGTTTAAAATAGTAGTCACCATTTTTTACTTGCTGAAGAGTTCTGTTTAATCACTTTGAAGTTTTCTTAACAACATATATCAAAGGTTGTAACATGAAACCAAATCTGTGATGTATGCTACTTATTTCGATGAACATAAGTTTGAGAAGATCGGTGTGAAGAGAACGAGAATGAAAACAGATAGTAATGGCAATAGCAATGAAGGACGATGAAATTTGAGACAATTGATTGAGGATTGGCAAACGAAATATTTAATGTATGGTTTTCACATTTTATCATAGAAATCTGTAATGTCGTATTGAACAATAAATTGGTTGTCCCCATCTGAGTTCTCGTTCAATACACATCTAGACTTAAAATGAACGTGGATGTATCTGATTGTATATAATATCGTCCTAGGCTGTACAAATACTCTAAAATATTTCGTCCTATTATCTAGGACTTTTAGGCGAAGTGCTATAAGTAGTTATTGCATAGAACAGATATTCTTGACAAACTTTGTGTTGTTAGAAGAGAACGATGAAGATTCGTAAACAGATATGGACTATATAAAGTAAGTAATAGAAATGTAAAGCACGTATTGTCAATCTAGTTATCTGTTTAACCAGTATTTATGCAACGTTGAATTGGTAATATTTTATCGCGATGCGATTACACTGAAGACATTCGGTTATCATGTTTCATATTTTTATTTTTGAATTTGTTGTACATTTGTGGTGTATTTTATTCTGAAGCTCACGAGAATATCTTTCCCCTCTCATACTGAACTTATAATAAGTACTATCACTGAAACTTCTATTTATTCCAATCGTTAGTCTGTGCACAAACTGGGCACGCCATACCAGATATACGATCCACGTCCATATATGCAGAACCAAGGCATAAGTTAGACAATATCTTATTCATCACAATCACAAGCAATCTACAGTCAGTGGGTCCAAAGTAGAAATCAGTGGTGTGAAGGAAATTATGTATTAAGTAATAAGTAAGCTGAGTGTCCGTTTGTTCACGTTTAGTGGTCAATGACATTTAATTTTCACTGGCCTAACACTAATCACTACATGTGTAAGCAAGATTATCAGTGTTTAAGCAATTCTTCGTTTGTGATCACGACGGATATACAGAAAAACTGTAATTGGCGAATTCTTTTGACGGGCAATCTTCATTCGTTCGTCTAATATTTTTTGTAACTTCAAACTCATGTGTTAATTTCTCACTTAAGCTCTTTGTAGATTGTTTATTCTCTTACTTTTAAATATTTAGTGGGTTGAACTGTTAAAAATGTCTTTGTAAGCCTTTTTGGCTTAATTCTGATTCATTTTTCAATCTGCAGGATGTTATATGGTCATCGGCCATATTGGTGGCTTACACTGAATCGATCGCTGACCGACCTTGACCTATCTGTAAAACAGTACCCACTAACATGTGAAACTGGACCTGGAAGTCCATCAGGCCATTGTATGGTAACTGTAGCAAGCCTAACACCAATGATAACTTACTTCTACCATAAATTAAAAAAGTATGTATTTCGCTTCATTATTGTTACTTACTATCCAACTTATTGCTTAAAGATACTGTGACTTTAAAATTTACCAATAGGAAGTACTTGGGAAATCACTCTCGAAAATGTTGTTCAGCCTAGGTCCAACTGATTAACATATCTATTGCATTTAAGTCAACGATAAAAGTAATTAAAGTACTCAACCTTAATTTTGTTGAATATTGCGGGAGAAAGTAGCTACAATAATATAACTATATATTGCAAAAACTGTAATTCTTCAATGAAAAGTGAATGAAGAGAAATCTTTGCACTAGCAACGGAGTTATTATCAAAACAATATAGATGGCGAACTGATGTTATTTTTTCTTTTTCAAACGCGTTCTAACTTAAGGTAAAGAAAATAAATTACTGAAGATATTTCTATGGTCTATCATAAGGGGATGAAATATGAGGATTGTTGATGGCCTTGATCAAAGAAGTACGATTGAGTTTAAAAGTTATTAATCAAGTCATAATGAGGGATTTGGGCTAATTTGTCTTGTAACTGCTCAACAAGAAGCACATCTATTCTGTTTCGATAGTTAGTTTTCATATTTGTCTAGTCATATCCGAGAAGGCAATCCAATTTGAAACTTTTAATTAAACTAAATGGCTATCCAAGACCTAGAAGAAACTGGTTATCGTCGTATTCAAACTGGCCTACATTGGAATCTGTTTGATGGGAACCAACTGATTAAAAGCAGGAAGGTTTCATTTCATATCGAGACATAAGTTTTTTTTTCTGTTCGAGTTTCTGTAAACTTAACCCCTATTGTTCATCCTTATTTATTTTAGTCGAAACCATCAACGATGTTTGATAACACTATCCTGTTTAGTTTTTGGGTTAATTGCCCTTAGCCGCTGTTACTTGGCAGCACATTTTCCTCATCAAGTCATTTTAGGACTAATATCTGGTAACAATCATTTTCACTTTTGTTAAATTATTTTATAATTACCAGTTTTTTTCAAAAACAAATTATTATTCAATCGCTGTATGCAAAACCACAATAAATAATCTATATATCGCTTGTCTGTTTAATTCTGATGTGCCAACTCTAAAAGTGAACGTATTTTCATCGTAAAATAGTAAAAACTTGGAAAATAAGAATATATTTCCAGTTACCACGAGATATTCATTATCACTGAACTAAGAGATGCCACTGTGAATTATTCAGATTATTTTTATTTTTCAATAGACAAAATATTAAGGTTGGATTCATCCACTGTATAAATTGAAAGGCAAGCTTCACGATAGTTAAGTTCTAAATGCTACGACTTACTAACTAGAAGTTAAGCGTTTGCACGCGAGACTGAAAGTCCTGGGTCCAGACAACGCGTGCGGGATCGTGAATGCGCATTGCTGAGGAGTCCAATACTAGGGCGAAACGACCATTCAGTGCTTCTAGGTTTTCAATAGTGGTCTAGATTAAATCAACTCATGAATTCAACCGTTAAACAAAATGACATTATTAGTAACGTTGTGAAAAGGTCATGTATGAAGGGTGAGAAAAAACTACACCTTTATGAAGGTGATAAATTGTAATCAATAAGTTAAAATGGTATGTAAAAACAAGTTAATGCAACATGGGAATTATTATGTCATAGTTGTGATGATATTAATAATAATAACATTGAGAATGATTATTAATAAGAATATCATGTAAATAAGCAAGATGAGTGTATAATTAAAGATAAGAAAACATGTCTCAGAAAGGAGTGTAAATCACGCTGAAAAAGCGGTCGCTCCATTACTATTAACTAGTTATTTTAAATGCTGTAGAAACATGATTGTTAAATTTCTGTGCTCAAACATATGACAAAGATTAAGTTGTTCGTGAGATTTTGTATTCATGCTTATTTTTGTGAACTTTTTTAAATAATATTTCCGTCTCCTAACAAAGTTCATTATTTTATATGAAGAGCCATTGATGTTGAAGATATGAAATGCACTTTTTAATCTCTTATGATTTGATTCTCAGTAGGACATTGAGTAACATATATCACTATGGATTTTCGATGTTTTGTCTATATCTTATTTAACTTCAGTTATTGTGTTCACTAATTTATGTTTGCTACTCTTCTTTGTGACATGATTTGCAATTTCAAAAACTATCTTTCAGAATAGCTCTTTACTAACTACTACAATAGTTTACTTAACTTATTCTCGTATATTCTGTTTTAAATTTAGGTATCGCAGTTGGATTATTATTTAGTTTACCTGGTAGTTTTCTCAGTTCAAAAAACGAAGTCAAAATAAACTGGTTACATGTACAAGCTGTTTATCTCTTAACTCATCCAAACAGACTATTGTGGTTGGGCTTCTGTTCATTCATGTTTGCATACGTTTTCAGCGTATTCTTAGAGTATGGTATAAAAGTAGATCCTAATTGGAGTATAAACTTAGCACAATCAGCATGTTTACGACCAGAATGGATTCACTTATCAACAAGTCTTATGATGGGATTTTCACGAATTGCTGGGACTGCTACTGGTACGTCCTTTATAGTACTAATCTCTTCATGTTATGATTTTCTGGCTGGTATTTTGTTTTCGTAAGTTGTCACGTTTCATATCAACCGAACAAGAAGAAACTAAGATGATGCACAGCAGATTAATCAAAATATTAGTGGTGTTTAAAACTAACTGATCGGAAGGAAAGAAGTGGGAAGTTTAGATAATATTAAAATTAAAGATTTACACAAAGTCGCAAATTAAATCCATACCTTGTCACTGCATCCGATTTCGAGTCTTATTATCTAAGGTTCTCAGTCATGGATTGCTATGGTTCTTTTGAGACCAACCAGGAAAGTTTTACTTCCGGATACTAATAAGATTAATCATCAGTAATCCTATGAACTGATATCAAGCCAGAGTCTGAAGATATATACTAGTATTCTGTCCAGCCTTGGGTGTTAGAGTAGTTTGTGATTGTGTGCAGAAAATATTAAATCCTAAAATCGATCTGACTGTAAAGTTTTCAGTTATTTTACAGTACGAGATAGTTCGTCTATTTTGTCATAACTAAATAATTTTGGATATCTGCAAATGTGACTGGCTTCAATAGTTGACTGTTCACACCACTGTCTTTAATTAGTCTTCACTATATGAAACATGATTATGGATAAATATCATTGAAGAGTTTCAAATTATGAAAAAACGACTGTCTAATTATTTCGTTTTCTCGATAAATGTTAACTTGATGTCTGTGTGTATAGTTTACATAAATTCACCATCCAGTAATACGAGATTACTAATTTCCCATAAAAAAGTTATTTAATCTAATAAACTTTGTTATCATGGTTTCTGTACTGATTAATGTTAAATAGTCGTTGGAAATATCTTTACTTGTTTCTTGAATATATTCATATCTGATCCATCGGTCTAATGATAAACGTTAGTTCATATCGAACTAGTGATTGCAACAGTCACTCATATATTGTATTCCATTTCTTAAATATCTGTTTGTTTATTGAACTAATTCATGTGTTTCTTTTTATTCAGGCTTATCTTTAGGTTTGCGTCTTAAACCAACACATTCTAAACAATCAGTATTAGACACAAATTCCCTACCGATTATTCTATTCAGTTTAATAATTGTGGTTATTAGTACAAGACTTATGGAATCAATATGTAACCAGATAATCAGTCTTTCTACAATTAATATTAGTGATGAAGTGATGAAAAGTCATTTTAATATGTTACATTTATTTAATTCATTTTTACAAGGCACTATTTGTCCATTCATTACGGTTTTTATTGTGCCAACATGTATGAATTTATTTCATCGTAAGTATAACTAATTCGATAATTAAAGGTGAATTTTATGCTATTACAAAGCTACCTTTATTAATAAACATTTTATTCCGAATATACTCTCAAAATCAGAAAGGTGTTATTTGAAGAAAGTTTTTTCTTTAAAAATAAAAAAACTCAATATTTGCTATTTTGTATTACTTCAAAGAAAACATTTCAACAGTTGTTATATTATTAAATTCATCCTGTTTAGTTTACACTTCCAGAATAATTAATTTATGTTGACGAATTGTTTTATTATTCTTTAATTCAGTGAATTTAAAATCAATTGACCGTTCATTGTTTTAAAGGTCTATCATCGTAATGTTTATTAATAGTTAGTTATAGTTATTCCCGCTCAACATAGGTGGAGAACCTCATGACTCTTTGGGTAGAGAAGAGCTTTGCAAAGACAATACGAATGGACACTGGGGAAAATATGTATAAAGGGATAGTGATATAATTAGCATGGGTGATTAACTCAACCCACACTATGTAGTACAGATGTATTCTTACTGACATATACTACATTTTTCCTATCACTTTTGGAAGCTTTTATGCAAACTACAAGCGCTGGTGAGTTACTAATAAGTTCACAAATGGAAAAACGCGGGACCTATCCCCAAGTATGTTTAATATACATATATTCAAATGCAGGTATCAAAGATACAAACATTCCAGTGCTATACATAATAGCATAGATGGGCGCGGTTGCTAGTATGCTTTACATGCAATAATATAAAGCTTCAACAAGTCCACTCTTCCCACAAGTACATATAGGCGTAGAAGTTCCCGCTCGCAATTATACGATACATTCACACAGAAATGCATAAGCCAAGGCCCATATACCCCATAGTATACATATAGGTATAGATGCGATCGCCCTAGGTATTTCATTGGTTGAATATCGAGTATTCAAATCAGCATGTGAATAAGCCGTCATAGAAGAGGTGCTCACTTCACGCTCTTATCACAATCCGGTTTTGTATCGATCACTGTATACTGGTTACTACACATTTCTCGGCCTACGCCCTGGCCCACCCCTGTCAGACCTTATGGGCATTTCCAGACTCGTCTGTTCATGCATAAAAATGAGTTTTCCTTCAATGCAACAATCAAACGCATTTCAAGTTGACCTCTCTTCTCATGTAATTAAGATTAAGCCAAATCTCCACCTGACTTATGCGGAGTGGTTGGTCAGTCCGGTCTCCACTGTGCCGCTTGCGTTAGTCCATGAGTAGGAAGGTCACCTACTATTTAGGAAGCACTACGCGGAAGTGCAAATTGATATTTGTAAATTTATAGTAATCAAGTCACTCAGATACATATATCATAAAATGTAACCATTCTATCTATGAATTAAAAGTATGGAGACACACCTATTATCATAAAGCAAACAGTCAGTCTTTTATGTACAGTTTCTTATAAATTCAATTGCTGAAGTTCCAAGTTATTGGTTCTCATCCAGAAAGTTTCATGACAAACTAAGTAAATAAAACTATCTTTCGATATGAGGGAAAGTAACTGAATATCGACAGCTTTAGTCTGAAAAAATCACTGTATAAGAGCTTTTATATATCACTGTTACAAAGTCATTATGAAGATAGGATTTCACAACAGTAACCTTCGTAGTAGCTAGACAGATACTAACTGTTCTTCAGGAATACTTTCACGAATGGACATTGTGAAGTCTTGATAGCGTTGAATGTAGTACTTTGGTCCAGAGGCTAAAGCACTCAAACTCTATCCGGTTTGTTCTCTGTTTGAACAGCACTTTACTCACTTCGATCTGTACAGTGGTATTATCTCTAGATCTCACCAATTGTGTGTGATATAAGCTCTTTACATAAATATTTAGTTGATGGCTGAGTTGTTACAATTGTTTAGAAGCCTCTCAATATCTCAAAACATCACTCACTCATGAAAAGACGTACCTAACTTTAAAGACGGATCGCTAAAAAATTTGGAAAAATGTATTCGATCAGAAATTTTGTCATAATGTACGAGATAAGGATAATGATAACATGGATAATCTGAACATCAGGCAAATCTTTTACAGTTAATCTTTAGTATTGTACCTCTTAGTAGAAGATCTCATATACCGTTGATAACATACTTAGTTCTCACGTTTTCAGCTAATATGCAACTTTAATTGGTTTCGGTTAACAGGTCATAGCTACGTTCATCTTGTGCCGAATACTTTGTACAAAAACACCTTCAATATAGTGATGAAATAACAAATTTTACTAACCACTATTACTGTCTTCTGATATTCATCTAACTTGGTTTATGAGTCGTCACCATTCTGTCACTTAATAGCTCTGGATATGTATTTCTCATAGTTTTGACATCATTAGGTCGAATAGTATTTTATTATTCAATAGTCTTCACCCTTGTGATAAAGTACCCAGCGTCAGGTTAAGAAAATATGACATACAGAGTTTAAACAGTCCGAAACTTTGGGATTCCAATCTAATAATAGATAGCAATAAACGTGGTACAACCACTCAATATTGTAAATTTTATTTATAATAATTAAAACAGTTCGCTAATTTTCCTTATTACTGATGTCCGATTAGGGTGAAATATTTCAATCTATATTCGATGATCTGAAATATATTCATTCTATTGCAATTGATGAAGAGTTAACTGCAATATTCAACAGGCGTTGAAATATTTTCACTAGGTCTCTATCGGGCTCTTCATTTGAATGATAGTTCTCCTATGAAGATGTGATACATTAAGGAAATTAAACTAAACTTAATACACTAATATTTTGTGGCATGACAAGTATAACTACTTGTGAGTCTAATTAACAGCTTAAAAATTGGCCTAGTTAAAGGTCACAACTCATATGTACGCTCTAAGTTATTTAGTAACCCTGATTTTCCGTCTTTATATTAGGCAAAGACAATCATTATTCAGAAGAGTTTTAGACAATCGTCACCATTCCCACCCACTACATCATAGAAACGTGAACAAATTTAATGTTTGCTACATGAAAACCGATACATTAAGATAGGTAGTCTGTAAAGATCCATCTACTCTCGATCCACCTTGTACTCCATATATCGGTTTCAAGGTTTATCTAAGCTGGGTGTGAAACGTTCTGCATAGTAGCATTAGACTTCATGATGGGTTAAACTAAACTATTCTAAAATAGGTAGATGTGTCCCTAAAATTATTTTAAACAAATTTCTAAAATAATTAATCACTTGATGAACCAGTAACGATGCAACTACGAGTTAAATGTATGTTCGTATATTTCACTTCAGTTGGAACACAGTATTGAGAAAGTAGGAAAAAAATGAGACTTACCATAACTTTACGCTACTCATGAGTAGTATATTCCAAGAAAAATAAAACTACTGGTATTCATTTGTACCTAACACGTCAAATGCAATGCACTTCAGATGGATAATATATCTGAGGATGTAAATCGGTATAATGCTTCCATAATTAATATAATCTTACTATGACTGCATAGAAGTTATATAATGTTTCCTAACATTCATGACAAGTGGTATGTACGCGATAACTAGTGGTTTTATTCTACCGAATATAAGTTTCGATGAGAATGGTGTTTAATTATCAGTGCTTACATATCATCATCAATCCTTGGTAAAACTAAACAGTATTCGTCCTCGAAATCAAAATGCTGGGTTTTAATTATGACGGTAAGACCAACTGACAAGATTTGAAATCAATATAAAGTTAAAAGCCATGTCGAATTATAGTATTTCTAAAATATGTGATATTACATTGAGTAAACTTATGATGCAGTACACTTCAAAAGGCACAGAACACGAAGCTCTACGAATCTATCATGTAGTCTACTATAAGCATACAAATCTTACATAGGGTCCACCGAATAAACTATTTATGACCTATGATTTAATAGTAATGTTTATGTACGTATTTATGAATAACATTCAAACGACTGAACTTGATGTGAAGAAGCGGTATTTTTACCGTAGTCAGTTAATTATTCTTTAAAATAATTTTAAGAACAGCAAAATTCCATGGGTCATGTCACTTGTGAAATATTTTTTCGAAAAAACAATATCGAAATGAGTATGAATTTGGTAAAAAAAGATCGTGAATGAAGTTCTTAACGTGTGGAGGTAAATATATCAAGAAACTCTGCTAATCCACCAAAGGATTGAGCATCTGTTCGCTTATTGTTCTATTTTTTTTATCCATTTACATATCTACCAACTAATTCTTAATCGAGACCAAGAGTACTCTTATAGTATTAAGAATAGCTTACAACCCATCACGATGCACAATACTAGAAATCTTAAACCGAAGCGCAGCATTTACTAGGACATTTCCCTACTTGTCTATCCTTTGAAAAAATGTTGAGCATATTAAAATATATATTCAATAACTGATTAAATGGAAAAAGTATATGTAGCTTCTAAATCGATTGAAAGGTTTCGTTCTTGTTTATGCTGATCGTCTGAAAGACATATATTAAATGTAATTTTTTAATGATTGTCATTTGACTGTATGTAAAAAAAAATTTATTACATAACTGCTGATGAAAATTCCTTACTATAACGAAATTTCTAAGAATGATTTAAGCTATTTTTATTTTCCTATTTATTTATCTATTCATTCATTTTGAGAACCTGTCATATGCAGTACAAAGAAGGGGTTGATGATTTGAACTTGCCAAAAGTTTTATTAGTAGCTTTACTTAAACCAAATAGTAATCCATAATATCCGATTATCATCTAATCATTCATAATTGGTTATATATATATATATATGAGTAGGAGGTAACACAAGTCAGAAATGGAAGACCTAGAGGCAGAAGGCCATGAAGATCAACATGAAGAAAACAGAAACGGAAATATAAAGAAATTGTGACTTGAAAAAAATCATATAGGATGTGAAGGATAAATGATGGAATTTTCCAAATGAAATATTCAGCGTATGATCCTCATAGTTTACCATGTTACCGAAAACTTGTGTTTAATTCACAGAATAAGCTATTTTCCTAAAACACATTATTTGGCATGTACAACATTATCAGTAATGTTTCTATCCGGGTTCTAATTAATACACTAGATTTGGCAAAATAAGACTAATTTACTTCGTTGATTTCACCTAATTATTATTTAAAATAGTTATGATAATAATAAATGTAGAATTTTTCTTGGTTTTCTAACATTTTTAATATTTTTCTTTTGAGAAAAAAAACCTGCATAAAAGTAAGTTTTAACAAAAAGAAAAGAAAATAAT